TATCATTTTGAAAAACTTGGCTGTAAGTTTTTCAAAATGATAAAAAGAAAACATCAAGTAATAGATATATAAGTAGAGGAAAAAGAGCAATTATACATTTTCACAGATATAATCAAAGCAGTATAATACATCTTTATAACTTTGACGGCTGCGTAGCGCAGTGGCAGTGTACGTGCCTTTTTTAATATAGTGAAATGCCTACGCATTCCCGCCTATATATATATATATATATATATATATATATATATATATATATATATATCCGGAGTAAGCCTTATGACGGGTAGTTTATTTAAAAAATCTAACGAGTTGATGTAAAATAATATAAAATAAACATACGCAAGTAGAATCTCCTGGAAGAAGTGAATAAAAAGCATATTCTTTTGTTTATGAACACTAGCATTAAATATATTTAATTAAATATTAAATAAAGGTATATGTCAATTTGTCGTGGCATAGTATTGAAACTTACAAAAGTGTATTCACTCCTTAATTTTTTTCTACTTATTTTGCATAATGTGTGTGTATTAACGTGTGTACCTACACCATTTCTTGTGTACAAAGTTAATGAATATAAAAATTAATCACTACTCATCGAAATATATTACTAGTAAGTACCTCAATGTTACTACTAAGTACATTATAAATTAAAATTATAAAAGAAAAATATAGATATTTCATAATAATTAACCAGAAATAAAACAAGTGAAACCTCAGAAATAAATTTTTTACTGTTGTTTGCACTATTACATCATTAATATTTATAATTTTATGTCACATTATAGTATACAGGGTTATTTTGCAATAATCGGCCGAAGCAGAGAAGGTTCTGAATAAGAATTAAAGGCAAATGGTGAAAAAAAATTAATTAAAAAAATTTATATTTTAAATTCCAAATACGTGCTAATGCTTTATTTTAACTGATTTTAGTGTGCATGTACACAATCTTAAGGGTCGGTCGGTAGGCAAACCCGTTGTTGCCCATAAATCACATTCAACTTGGGATAATTTCAAATAAAAATAGAAGCCTTATTTACTGGTATTTACAAAATCTGCAATAACGGTATATCATTATTTATATGTCTGTTAACTTAAGTTTAAAATTAGGCTACTCTATGAAAAATAACCCTGTATAATTGTCAAAATATTATTATTTAAAAAAATCATTTAATCATTACAGTCTATGATATTCCACTGTTGAACAAAGGCCTCCTCTACAGGTTGGTAGTTGGTAGGTAGTTGCCACACTTGGTTGGCTGGTTGGCGACTGCAGTTTCTTATTATTTTCAGTTATTAAGAAGATGTTGCCACCCGCGATACCCACTTTGTTACCACCTACGACACCCACGGGAAAATATGGTAGTGGATTTTCTTACGCTACGCTACGCTTACGTTACTCACATCACGGGTTATGTTGATACCCCACATCATACCATGGATGTCGTAGGGGGCGACAACGGGATACTAAAACTGGAGATAGGCAACGGTATGGCAAATATCCCCTCTTTGCGACAGTCTATAGGAAGGCCTATGTTCAACAGTGGGCTTTGAGCTATGAGCCTATGAGTAATGAATCAACAAAGCTAATAAATCAACCCAACGAAGCAAATAAAAAAGTAAACATTTGTAAATAAATTACAATAATTTTTAATGCAATGAAACAGAAGTTGCGTCCTCGACTGTACTGGTTTTACGTGAAGAAATCACGCGATCCGCCTTGTAGTGTGCATGTTGTTAGACATTCGACTAACTACGGTGCGTGAAGATAAAAAAACATAAACATAATTTTATTGGGTAATAATGGAATTGTAAATTGGTGCAGTGTTATAGTTGGTACCTTCTTTTAAGTATTTAAAATACTTATGCAAAAAGATAAATTACAATATAATGGAATTGAAAAGTTTTCGTTCAAAGAATTCAAAAAAGAGGAGGTTCTCAATGCTATATATGTACGAGTAAGTATTTTTATAAATGTAAATATATATTTCTATGTATATATGTATGTATGGACATAACTTTGTTTAAGCACCGATTTCAAGCATTCCCTTTTTATAAAATTGGTTTATTAAATAGAACTTTAATTTTGTGATACGCGTTACCATAGCACCGACTTCAGACGTGTTTATCAATGTGGAAATTGTTTTATTCTTTTTTATTTTTTAAAGTAGGGTAATTGTATTTAATAATAATTATAAATAATACTTATTTAAAAGTCATTCCAACAATTCGTTCGGAACAGTTTTTATCCTATATAGAGGAGCAGCAAGATACTTATCGGTACTTCTTCAAGATAATGGTTCACACTACAGTACAGTATTATTTTGTGTATTATTTTATTCTTAGGGGTTATTATAAAGTATTATTTGTTAGCATGTGGTGGCAGCGAAACATAATCCATCACCCTATTTCGTTCCTTAGGAGTTGTAAAAGGCAACTATGGGAAGAGAAATAAAAATCTCACAGCTTTACATATATGATGGTATAACTATCTGACAGATGGAAACTAATACAGGAGATTGGCAGCAGCACTTTCCTGATAACAACTAAAAATAGTATAAAACCACGGTTGTCAATCCGCCTGCCAAGCTCGTGGCCAAATTTCTTTAACATATTCAGCAGTAGACTTTTACGTGGTAGATAAGACATGCTGCAGTTAATTAGTAGTATAGTTGTAGCACGAATGGGTCGGCTCGACCGGGGAAGGACCACGCTCTCACAGAATACCAGCGTGAAATAGTAGCTTAATGCTGCTGTATTTCGTATGGTGAGTGTAGAGAACCGGAGACCCTTTTTACTGGAAACGAGGCATTCCATCTCAGTCCTCACGGGTGATAACGCATCTGCATTTTGATTTTTAATGGAGGATAGATGTAGATGTCTATGGGCCGCAGCAACCACTTACCATCAGGTGGACTGTGTGCTCGTTTGTCACACTATTCTATAAAAAAAAAAAAAAAAAAAAAAAAAGACTCGTAGATAGTGGTGGTGTTAAAATACGCACACTAACTCGTCGAACGGAACATATTGCGGCGATTTGCTTAACAAGATTACGTGATACAGTGAAATTATTTAAACATACGAGTGTATTATATTGTGTTGACGCGTGCATCAATTATTCACAGCTATTTGGCAATGAGTCTAATTCATAACTCAGTGTTTTCCTTTTGCACACTTTATTACTAGTTTCGTAAAACTAATGGTACGATATTCAACGTGTTGATACATAAGCGACAGGTTTCTCTTGAAACTGGGTTAAAAGTACATAATATATACAATAGATACAGGCTAGAACGCCTCGTAAAAGGTCAAAGTTGTCTAAATGAATAATATTTAGAAATCATTCGCACTGTTGTTTTAGTTTATTTTAACTGTTTATAAAGATTCAGCCTATATACAGAACTTAGTGTGCGCAGTCCTACTCTCATTATTGCGTTTGCGGACTTCATATGTCTTCCAATTTAATTAAATTTCTCAGACATGCAGGTCTCCTCACAATAATTTCCATCGCCGCCGAACACGTTGTAAATCTTAAACTTCAAACATTTTTTGTTGCCAGCGATGTTCGGCTGCGATGCGCAAAATTTACGCCTTGCGCTTGGCCCCTGAACTAGAATGGTAAAACCATTTGAACTATGCGTAAAAAGCGTATAATAAATAATTCTTTATCCCAATGCTTGCAGAATTACACTTAATTTACTTCCTTTTTTAAAGGATAGGGTGACAAACGAGCACACAGTCCACCTAATGGTAAGTGGTTGCTTCGGTCCATAAACATCCACATCTATCCTCGATTACAAATCAAGATGCAGATGCGTCGTCACCCGTGAGGACTAAGATGGAATGCCTTGTTTCCAGTAAAATGGGTCTCCGATTCTCTACACTCACCATACGAAACACAGCAGTATTAAGCTGCTATTTCACGGTAGCATTCTGTGAGAGCGTGGTCTTTCCCCGGTCGAGCCGACCCATTCGTGCTACAACTATACTACTAATATAATTGCAGTATGGCTCTATCACTTACATACATAAATTGTACAAGGACACACATCAAGATCAGGAACAATTATTTCAAGGCCATACAAATATTTGTTCGATTATTCAAACCCGCGTCCTAGCAGCGCGTTGCACCGGTGGTTTCTAGATCTCGACAACAGCGCTACCTACCAGCTCCAATTGTGAAACTTAACCATCTAGGGACCCACTCAAACACAAGTTCATCAACATTAGTTTTCGGTTTAAAGAAATGTATATAAGGCAATTAATTTTCGGTTTAAAGAAATGTATTTCTCATAAGAACATACAATGGTTCACTTACAATGAGATACAAAGTAATTATTATACTAAAGTAATATTAAAAAATGTAGAACGCTTCACGATTTTGCGTATCATCTATAATTTTTCTTTATATAGATAAATAAGGTCTTTAGCAGAGTTCAACTAAACGGTAATTAAAACTTAATTACTTTACATTGTTTTTACTTAACATTACTTTAATTTTAGTTATAGGATTCCCTTCCTACCCCTGAGTCCGTTTGGGCAGGTACCACACTCTTACCTAATTCTGTTACGAAGTACAAGTCACGGCACGTTAGTCTAGCGCTGAACGCAATGTGGAGGGGATAGCTGCACATAACGTATCAGTACGCCTATAACCGTAGCCGTACGCAAGTAGCAGTAGCCAATCAGCGCGTACGAACGAACGCACGCCCGCCCCGCGACCCGCTTACTACCTTATGATACCTTATTTTCGACTTATGTGCAATAACGGTCACCGCTAGACTTTCGTGCCGCTATTTATAACAGTGCACTACTGTTCAGGACTAAATAGCCAGTATAATTGCAGGTTGTGATGCATTCTGTAGACATCCTTTTTAAATCAGATGTCCAACTAAGTTCGTTTCTCACTTCAGTTAAAAGAATCTGCTGCCATTTCCTGTGCGTATGCCAAACAAATATAGATAAGTATATTTTTTATTATTTTTTGTTCTTTTATAATTTACCTGTAAACAAAAGGTCCAACTTCTGCTAGCTTCGGTTTCTCTCCATGCTCGATGAAGCCCTGCGGGTTGGTCACGTTGAAGATGTAGACTTTGGTGAGCCTCATCACGCCAGGCTTCTGCCAGTAGCTGTAGCTGAGGGACCCGTTCCACAGCCTCAGCTCCTGTCGTGAGATAAGACAGATCGTCATCAATCATTACAGCCCTTAAAAAGTCCACTACTGAACATAGGCCAAAGAATGCCACAAAGCACGGTTCTGAGTCACCTGCATTCATCGACTTCCTGCATGTCTTACTAGATCGTCAATCATCTAATGGGAAGCCACCCCACACTTCTCCTAACGATACGAGGCTTCGTGCCCGATCGGTTATCAGTTCTTTGAGCTATATGACTGACCCATTGCCATTTCAGCTGACTAATCCGTTGGGTTATGTCGGTTACTCTGTTTCTACTACGGATATCCTCGTTTCTAAGTTTATCACGTAGAGAAATCCCGAGCATAATTCGCTGAGCGACCTTGAGCTTCCTCATATGGCCAGCAGTGAAGGACTACGTCTCAGATACAGATCATCACTAACAACACCCACTGGTGATACAATCTTGTTTTAAAGTGTTGATATGGTGATATGGTGTTGAATAAAACTACTTTTACGGATTTTATCGCATTTGATTTGCTTAACTTTAATACTCGAATTTCGGGCGCTTTCCAGCACCCATGGTTACGGGGAACTGAGGTGATAAAATTCGTAAAAGTAGCTTCATTCAATGTGAAGTGTTCGCGTATATATAAGGAACCATTATAGTGATATGGTTTTGAGGTATACCTGACGAGAAGATGAGTCGTAATTTACCGAACGCTGCCGCCGATTCCAATTCAGCAATTGACTTCTCGGTCGAATTTGAACTTACCTAGCCGGACATTTTTTTATTGATCCCAGGTAAGCATACTCGGGTATCTCAGAAATTCGGGTGACCAACTAGCACACAGTCCACCTGATGGTAAGTGGATGCTGTGGTCCATAAAAATCTACATCTATCATATCGATGATTTTGATTGCTAAGCGTAGACTAAGATGGAATGTCCCATTTCCAGTAAGACGGTTCTCCGGTTCTCTACACTCACTATAGAAACACAGCAGCATTGTTCAATTTCGTGAAACTAAATGAATATAAAACTACGTAAAACTAAGTGAAGTAGCTTGCCTAATGCCTACCGACCAACCCTTACGAATGTGTGCGTGCGCTGTAAAATCAGTTAAAATAAAGCATTACCAGGCATTTTGATTTCAAAAGATAAAAATGCTAGACTTTTTTTACTTAATTTGTCTTCACTATTTATCTATATTACTTATTCTAGAAACCTTTTCTGCAAATGTGGTCGGTTTTTGCAAAATAACCCTGTACAGTAGGTTGATAGCTTGAGTCTTGACCTACACGTGTCCAGAGTAACATGTATGTTCATCGATTAAGATAGGTCATCGACATGAATGAAAACACCGTATTGATTTTATAAAATTTTATTATATTCAAAACACGCACATGCATTGTTTACCATTTATTTGCATTTTATTATTAGCAAAGCTATAAAAACATGGGATGTTTTCGAAAGTTTATTTACATTTTATATATATTAACTTAAAGCTCTTGTTAACTTCAAACTTATTATTACAAACTTATATTAGATTTTTTTTTAATTTTGATTAAATGGAATTCTACTCTTAAAAAATACTTAAAATAAACATTACACACACTACGAAGTTTTTGAGTATCGCGGAGGCGGTTTGTATGTATAAATTCCAGTTTATATAGACAAACATCCAGACCCGAAATAATTAGGCCATACAAACATTTATACGGTGTGGGATTCGAACCCGCGGCCACACAGCGCCACAACCAAACGCCATAGCGCTGCCATGCCTTCGTTACTACTTCATGGTTGCGACAAAATACTTGCAATATATAATCTCATAAGGGGGAAGAGATTACCTGTAGTAACGATGGCTAGACAGGTTGGCAACGGCAGTATATCGTTTTGTTGAGTGCTAGGAAAGATTTTTATCTGATGCTTTTTTTATAGAATAAGGGTGACAAACGAGCACACAGTCCATCTGATGTTAAGTGGATGCTGTGACCTACAGACATCTCCATTTCGCCTCGATTAAGAATCAAAACGCAGATGCATTGTCACCCCTAAGGACTAAGATGTAATGCCTCGTTTCCGGTAAAAAGGGGTCTCCGGATCTCTACACTCACCATACGAAACACAGCAATATTAAGCTGCTATTTTACGCTGGTATTCTGTGAGAGCGTGGTCCTATCTCGGTCGAGCCGACCCATTTGTGCTACAACGATAATATAGCTGCAGCCTGGCTCTACCATGCCCATCTCCTGTTTAGTTTCCATTTCTCGCATCTTGTGCTACCCAAAGTACGGGGTAGTATAGGTTATTACTACCCCGTATTATCCCTCGGTTATCGTTCTAGTTACAATTTATTTAGTAATGCAACCCGAACACTACTGCAGAGAGCATTTTATTAACATACGTCTTAAGAGTAGACATTAATTTTGAAATAGGCCTAACTATTCTAAGTACGTTTAACGTTTTTCCCAGGTTGCAAAACTACTTTTCTGCTAAGAAGTCCGTCTCGATATATAACACTCTCTTATTGTATTCCGGTCTCAAGGACAAATAGAGTCAGGCTATGAAGCAAAACTGTGTAAGAAGCTCCACTAGTGTTACAACCAGGGACAGCAGCATATAATTGATATACAGAAGAAACAGCGTAGGTGATACCACGCAGCCTTGTGGAGAACTAGCATTAATAGGCTCGTAGTTGGAGTATACATCGTTTACTACGACTTTGGTGCTCTTCTCTGCGAGAAAATTGATGATCCAATTGCAGAATTTTTCGTGAAGGGATATTTCGATAAAAGCTTTGTGTCAAAGTCCATCGAAGGCCTTCACTATGTCTAAAGTAACGACCAAAGCTTCCCTCTAGACTCTAATGCTTTCGCTCATCTATAAGTAAGGAAATTAGAAGATTATAATTAGTATCACTAGGTCTCTGTTCAGCTGCTGGTCCTCAATATATCTTATGACCTAGGATTCCATTATTTTGGAGAACAAGGGGGCGCTGGTGATAAATCTGTAGTTAGACGGGTCTGAGCGGTCGCCTTTTTAGGAAATGGGTGCACTAAAGCTGTCTTCCATAAGTTCAGGGTTACGCCTAGAAAGTAGGCGTATCGGAAAAGACGCATTAACTCTTATTTAATAAAGAAACCTGCCATCATATTAAACTCACCCTAAAAATGAGGTAGTCCAGCCAGGGCACGAACGATAGTATGATTCCAAGTACCACGGTGCAGATGCTGAACATGATTACTGCCAGGCGTCCTGCAACAGAAGGAGTAATCAATAAGCCGTAGATATAGGGTAGCCGCGGTAGCTCAGGGGCTAAGCGCTCCTTGTAAATTTCACAGCACGCGGGCAACTCGGGTTCGATCCCCGCCGGCACCAATGAAATTATTAATTGCAATTTGTAGTGCTGATTTACCACGTGCTCGACAGTGAGGGAAAACATCGTGAGAAAAACTGCATGTCTGAGAAATAAAAAAGAGAACATTTCAAAGACATGTGAGGTTCGCCAACACGCATGGTTACACGAATGGTTACAAAATATTTACAAAATTTACTTTAGAAATAGCTTGGAAGCGACAACCTCATTCCCAGGGGTTTTTATCAACTATAATAACCCTTTTTATAGAGTTTTTGTTTAATTAAATATTTTTACCTTGTATATTTTCTGGGACTTTGATGTAATAGCGTATATATACATTGCCCCAAGAATGAATTACTGACTCTATGGACTCGAGGAACTGGTATAACTAGCTTGTGTTTGTTCATAGTGTTTACAGAGTGTATATCACTTTTTTACTAAAACTACCTTTGTTTTTGTGAACATACATTAATTTTCCGTAGATGATAGGAAGAAGTGGGCGTGAGTGTCTACAAGTTGAGCATGGTTTCGGCGTCAGTAGACATGTACGTAATGTTACGTCTGTTTTCTGTCTTGATCTTATTGTTTAACAATCAGCGCGACGATAGGTGAGAAACACAGCCGCAGTAGAAATATTGTATCTAGCCAAGGTGTTCAGTCATTAAGCTCCTTGTGTTTAGCATCTAGTAAGTTCCTGTAAGCGTTTGCCCTCGATTAAAGCGAGTAAATGTGGCAACCATGTAAACATGTAATGTTAAGAAGGCTAGATCTTTTCTCGCTCAAAGGCTAAGTAAAGCCATTCAGCGAGGAAACGCAGCCAGCGTTCTCAACACTATACCGCAGGGAATATGATAATTTTAGTTCTTAGTTGAAGTTTTTTATTATGATAATAAATATGTATTCCATATTTTAATGTTGTAAAGGAGTACCCTTAACTGACGAGCATGTATGCGAGATAAGGATGGCGCGAGGCGAGAGAGGTGTGTCAGGTTCGTGTCAAATGGAAGTCTGTAGTCTCTGCCTACTCCTCTGGATGACAGGCGTGAGTGTTTATGTTATGTTTTATTTGAATGTTATCTAAATAAATGTATCTGCGTAGATCGGACCAAAAAATAATATTTAAAAACTGAAGGTAGCCGGGCTAACTATTACATTGAGACTTCAAACATCTCAGCCCCCCCCTAAGACCATTGGTGCTGGCTGTAAAGCACCCGAAATGTCGAGAAATAAAAATAAATTAAAATCTAGGGATTATAATATTCATGTAAAGAATCGTGGTAAAATACATATAACTTTTATCTGCTCTTGTGAGTTCCTGCTATAGCCCATTATGTCCTACAATTGCCGTTCCCACCATCATTATGTGCACCCTACTTTACGCTTGACAATTATCAATACGTGACGCCCTTGACCTTGAAGCCCTCCGTTGGGTAAGAAGTTTACTTCATATGATAGTAGTAGTTTTGAAGGATTAATTCCATATATCAGAGAACAAAAAAAAATGTAAAATATTTATCCCGTAGTGTTTACATTATAACACTCTAAGCATACTCGTACTACCGAAAAAACAAGCAGCGACCTCTATCGAAAAGCGCCGCAATCAACTAACGTCGGACGACTACATTCAATTCCGTTTAACCGCTGTCGTCAAACGTTCTTACTTTATGTTACATATTACATTTATAAGAAGTTTATTAAATATTGTAATAATAGTATTTGTACACGAATAAATTTTTAATTTATTGAAGAAATAAGCGATTAATTTCTGAAGTTATTAGATTGTGGTAGAGCTATAGCTATATAAATAACTTAAAATAGGTTTAATGATTGTTCTTTCACATAGAGGTAACTTTATGATAACTATACTTTTTTATTTCATTATTAAACGCATGATGTGTTCCCCTATAAGTAGTTATGCACTTAGCTTAAGACATGTTGGAACTTGTATTTTTTTTATTCAAATGTATTGTGTTATAACTGTTGGAGAACCTAATAAATAAATAAATAAATAAATAAATATTGTTGTTGTAACAGGAATGGGTCGGCTCGACCGGAGTGTCATAGAATACCAGCGTAAAATAATAGCTTAAATGCTGATGTGTTTCTTATGGCGAGTGTAGAGAGCCAGAAACTCTTTTCACTGTGTATTAGTTCTTATTTTAATATTCCATTTCATTATGATTACCCATACATGACGACTTGAAGACGACATATTCAGATGGCGGGGGCTTAAGACCGGCCCCCCGTCACGACCGGCTTACCGTGTAGCATTAGACTCCCCTATTTGTGTATTGGTTCTTAATCGGGGATAAATAATGTAGATGCTTATGTGCCACAGCATGCACTTACCATCAGGTGGACTGAGTGCTCGTTTGTTACATTTATTCTATAAAAAAACGACAGTTGTTCCCGCACACGGATTCTACTTCGTTTACCTAATACTTACATCTAATTACTTTTCAAGATGGTGAAAAAACAACTTATGTTTCATACTGGATTTTAAAATAGCTACAGGTCAAGACTGGTTCATAGATAAGAAAATAAACTCCTTTCTTTGTCGGGTTGTGTGATTTTCTCAAGCAGTCTACATATTAGATCATAATAAAGCTTGCAAATTATTAAGTTAGGATTAATATCAGTAGCACGTATCAACATTTACGTTGATATTATCGTAAATGTTAATTATGATAACTCGCTGAAGGGTCAAGCGCAGTTGTTGATTTAAATTGCATTTGCACGTCGTCTTTATAATTTAGATTGACACGATAATAGATCGTAAACTTATAAATCAAACTCGTAATAAACAAACTTAGCCTTTTTTATAGAATAAGGGCGACGACAAACGAGGACACAGTCCACAAAATGTTTTGTTGATGCTGTGGCAGATAGACATCCACAATTATCCACGATTAAGAATCAAAATGCAGATGCGTTGTCACCCCTGAGGACTAAGGTGGAATGCCCCGTTTCCAGTAAAAAAGGTCTCCGGATCTCTACATTCACCATACGAAACACAGCAGTGTTAAGCTGCTATTTTACGCTGATATTCTGTGAGAGCGTGATCGTTCCCCGATCGAGCCGACCCACTCGTTGCTACAACCATAATATAGCCGCAGCGTGGCTCTACCACGTATAAAAACACAAGTACCTAGGTGACCGAGCTTTCTTCGGTATTTTTTTTTGGAAATCGTGTGTTTTGGAAAATATATTTGGATACAAATTACATACTGATGAAACATGAATAATATTTTTTGATCTTATTGACATAATAGAAAAAACTGAACTGGTTATTTGAATAAAAAATCATGATTGCAATTAGTTTAATTTCAATTTTCGTATTTTTAAAAAAATACTAAAAAAAGTGCTCGAAACAATAGATTTTCTCATAAAAGAAGTGAACTTGAATAAAAAGGAAAAAAAGTCGGACCGAACCAGGGCACTACGATTTCGCGACGGCCCGATATCCATTTGAGCTATTACGATCACTAATAGGGCGTCATAATTTACCTTCTTATATTGTAGCAGTTTTTCATTGCCTGAAAACACGGACAAAACGACATTTTCTTGAAATGAATCCTAGCTGGATCGATTTATTGCCCCCGAAACCCCCTGGACACTAAATGTTATGAAAATCGTTGGAGCCGTTTCCGAGATTCCGATTATATATATACACACAAGAATTGCTTGTTTATATTCGAGCATCATTCGAGCTGCAGCTATAATAAAATTATAAAATAACAAAAATATGTATGACCACCTCGTTATAGCTTGAGAGGATATCGTTTAATTGCTGCTTTAACATTTGCTTTACGTCTCGGAATTAGCATAAAAGGCTTTGGTGAGTCCACAGCTTAAAACAAATCTAATGCTAGTTACAAAGTTGTCAGTGTGGTCGTAACCTTGTAGATGATTATCACGCAGCTCATCTTGTACTTCCATCAATTAATTGAGGATGTCTGAAACATGTTTTAAGCAAATATTTACCTATGTATTCCTACGGCTAGTTCGGTTAAAAATATTTTTGCAGTTTTCGCAAGTTCGAGGTACACTGTCCGAAAGGTTACAATATAGACCATTGCCAAAGTTAAAAAAGGCAAGAGCTAATAGGGCCCGGGCCCTCCGGATTCTCGCGCCCTCGAATCAACTTAACTATCAGTGTAGATAAGTTAATCCATGCCGGGACTCGATAGCCACGACGATATTTTTCTTGTTTATTGTACCGTTACACGTATATCGTCAGTTAATAAAGATAATATTAATTCAAATATTGTAAGTACGTATAACAGTGTAAGCAGTTAAATAAATATCTACTTACTTTCAACAAAATATCTAACTTACTGAAACTTATAGATTAGGTATAGGTAAAATAAGCACCGAACATTGCTATAACGAATGTAGTTTATAAGATATTTTTATGTGACATAGCTACAAATTAGCGGCTTCAGGATTTTTCACACTACTTGTGTTGTAAGACCTTGCTTTTTTATAGAATAAGGATGACAAACGAGCACCACCAGTCCCAGTCCACCTGATAGTAAGTGGATGCTGTGACCCATAGACATATACATTATCCTCGATCAACAATCAAAGCGCAGATGCGTTGTCACCCCTAAGGACTATGATGCCTCGTTACCAGTAAAAAGGGTCTCGGGACCTCTACACTTACAAAACACAGCAGTATTAAGTTGCTATTTTACGCTGGTATTCTGTGAGAGCGTGGTCCTTACCTTGTCGAGCCAACCCATTCGTGCTACAACCATAATATAGCTACAGCATGGATCTACCACGTATAATGTGCTTCTTGGCAAATTTCATAATTCTAGGTTAACGGAATGTGTGGTTATTAAGAGTAGGTTTGCGAGTATTAAAAGTTTTTTTTGTTTTAAATAACTACAAA